ATACGTTTTATATAGATAACGTAGATAAAAAAATAAAACTAAATTTAAAATTTTTTTTTAAAAATGTTACCTCAAAGTCACTGTCAACCGTTCTTCCGGACTTATAGGATTTCGGAGGTGCGTAATTTGTTTTGTTATATTTAGTCGAACCTTTTCGAGTAGTTCTTCAAACGATTGAATGGACATACGATAGTAGTCGAAAAACATGTCAGGATATTTTTTTAAATTGTCATAAAATATTTGAAATTTCATGTCGTATTCTTTACTTCTGTGTAATGGATGGACCCAATACCTTCTATGCTTCTGTGCTGGTTCTTGAAGTTCACCAGCAGCTTCGGCCGCACAAATAATTTCCAAAAGTGAGCTCATTTCTATGTATATAGTTATAATTGTAATTACTATATATTGTACTTGTAAATCAAAACAATTATATTTTCAATTTATAAACACTTACCTGATTTAAAATGCCTTTCTCAAATAATGGAAATTATAAAAAAACTATTTTATTTTTAAGATTTAATTTGTATGTATAAGATACAGTACAAGTGAATACGTTTGTTGCACAGACAGACTGAACAGACTGAACCGTCGAACAACATGTTGGCAAGTTTGATTTTCATGAATTCATGATAATTATAAATAATATTATGTACATTTCGTTGAAATCAAAAATTAGCTTTGCTATTTATATTAAATTTCAAATTAACAACGATTCCCGCGCTTTTTAATCTTGTTTGAAGGTAATCGGCAGCCGATAAAACGCTCAGTCTGAACCGGCACTTAAACGTGAAATGACTAGATCTCAATCGCAAAGCTTGGTAAATTATATTTTTATATATACAGCGGAACCTCTATAAGTGGAATTTTCGATAATTCCAAGGAATCCCATGTCCCCTGCATTTCTAAGTTGGAACCTATTACAATATGTGTGGTTAATTTTCTTGATAATTAGAATTTCTCGATAAGTCTAAGTGTTCTAAGGTTTTAACCGAATTGACCTATTCACTTTTATTCTTGTTTTCTCTCCATTCACTATAATATTTAAAAATTTAAATTAATTTAAATTTAAATTAGTTACTAATAATTATATAATGGAATTCGTCACAATTGAAGGCTTTAGATCAAATAGTAAAATTGTACATTGTAACAATGGATATTTTTACAAAATTAAATGTACAAGAACAAATTCTAAATCATTGCAATGTATACAAGCAGACTGTTCTGCAACCGGTAATTATGCTAAATTGTATTATATTTAAAACATTATTTTTAGTGAATTAGATAGGTAATAAATTATTATTATATATATATATTTATTTCATGAGTTAGTAGATTGTAGGAGTTAGTAAATTTCTTAGCATTTTTAAAAGAACACTACCTAGAGTGAAATAAATCTGTTTCATTTTCTGGAAATGAAAAATTCACTATATTTAGTATTTTTATAATGATTGTAACTATAGCCTTATAGGTATTATACACATTTACACATTCTATACAATATTCATATATAAGAATTGTTTTTTTAAGTTATGGACTGTATGAACTTAAGTAGTTAGTTTTAATTTGTGTAAAATTTAAATGAAATTATTATTATAATATTTAAATTTACCTTAAACTACCTAGCTCGTTTTAATGAGTACAATTTAAAAAAAGTTTATGTTAAAATAGTTGGTCTTAATAAATACTATTTGGAAAAATGAAAGTTTTTATAGATACCTTATATGAATAGTAAGTAAATACATTTAACAGATTTAATTATTGAAATAAGTTTTGTATGTAATAAATATGATAATTTTTGTGAAAAGGTTTTGCAAATAGGTTTATTACCAATTATTGTATTACCAATTTTATTAAAGGTCTCATTGTGGACAATTTGTTGTACGAAAAGCGCACCCACACACATGATCCTGACATGGGTTACTTGGCACTGGTAAATCTGAAAACAAATATTTTACGAAGGTGTGCAGAAGAATGTACCCCACATAGGATAATTTTTGAAGAAGAGACATCAAGGTAGTAATTTTGTCTTTTCATTTAATAGTTATGAAGTGGCGGAAGCAGTACTTTTATTTTTAAAAAAACGTTGCACATATATTTTATTTTATTTGTATCTTACATTACCTGTTTAGAACACAAGGCTTAGAAGATCGTTTGGAGTATACTTCATTTTTAAGAAGTATGGAAAGGGCAAGAGCTGCAGCTCAACCGAAAATTCCAAATGATTTAATGGAGTATGCAGGTGATTTGGTAGATCCTCGCTATAGTCACATGTTTAGAACGGCTAACGGACGAGCAATGTATAAAGGATTTGTAATGGGTGCTCCTGATGCCGGATCAGCCGTTGTATTCATCTCTCCATCCCTAGAAAAGTAATTAATTTTAACTGTATGTCAAGAACATAATGTTAGGAATGTTAGAATATAAATCTACTCTTTTGTATATTCAACAAGTATCTTAATTTAAACAATTTTTAGCCTTTTTGCTTCTGCTGGAGAAATACATGTTGATGCAACGTTTAAGAGTAGGCCTCTGGTTCCAGCAACAGAACAACTGTTAATAATTATGGCCATGTACATGGACCAGGTAAACTTTGTTTAAACATTAATACATAACTTATGTTATATTTTAATATATTATACCAACTTTTTATAAACTAACTTACCTACCACCTACTCTGTTTATTTTAACAGGCATTTCCAGTTGCATATGCTCTTATGACGCGAAAAACTGAAGCGGCATACACCAGTGTGCTACAACACATTAGGACTTGTGTTCCAGGTATTAGTGCCACAAATATTTTAACAGACTATGAGGTAGGGTTAAACAACGCATTGGCCAATGTATTTCCGGGAGCCAGATTGCAGAAATGCTGGTTTCACATGGCTCAAGTAAGATTTCCAAAAAAATTTAACAATTTTAATTCTATTAGGTAAAATTTAGATATTTTAATTTATGGTATTGTGCCGTTTAAAGATTAAATATTAAATAATGTTATAATGAAATAAGTTTCCAAAACAATTACTTTTATATAAATAGGCACTTGAAAAAAATGCCAAAGACTTTGGCATACGACGTCAAGTATACAGGGCAGACACCGCACTGCATACTATGTTTCGAATGTCGAAAGCTCTTGCACTTTTGCCAGCCGAAAAGATAGGTGAAGGCTTTGAAGTGGTGGTCCAGGAGGCTAGACTTTCTCAGAATGTTGAGGTTGCTGAACGATATATTTCGTATTTTAGAAATCAGTGGATGGAACGTGAGTTATTCTAAAAGAATTATAATTTAATTTTTAAAATTTGTTTATGGCATGTTCCAGTCATGGCAATAATTTATAACTTTTTAGATTTACGAATAGAATTTTCAAACTCAATTTTTCTTATATCCATTTATTTTACATATAGTGAACACTTCAGTTTTACTATTTCAATAATAAATTATGATAAACATTAAGTCTTAATATCTATTTAGTCACAATTTATTCTTTAAATTAACCCTTATAAATTAATGTATGTATTGAGATTACTAAGTATCTTATTTTAAAAGTTAAATCATAAGTAATTAAATAAAAATAAATCGTAACTTTGTTTTTTCTGTAAGTTTTACCGGGTAGCATGAACAATCACTAAACATTTAACGAATCAATAGTGAGTTAATGGTCTCTTAAACTTGATTTAATGGCCCATGATTGGTCCATTAAATTAATAAATTGTTCATGCAACCCGGCATTTGTGTTCATATTCAGTCAAACCAGTTACAGATTTTTTTTAAACATAATTACAACAATTACCTAAACACAATACCTCACCTTAAGAAGTCTTTATTCTTAATAATATTAATTAACATTAGGTGTTGGACAAGAAACCTTTTCTGTACATGGCATGCCAAGGAGAACTAATAACGACCAGGAGATATTTCACCGCCATTTAAACACTATTATGAATTGTCCACGTCCTGGTATTTGGCATTTTACTAGTAAGTTAAATGTAACATCACTATAAAAATAAAATCGACACATTTACATTATTAAAAGTTATATTTTAATACTTTACACATACATAATCATTATTTTGAATACTTCGAAAAAATATTTTATTTTTTTATTAAATGAGTTAGTTTTTAAAAAACCTCAGTACATTTTTATACCTTTAAACTTATTATATGACTTATCTAGTAGATGAAATTGACAAAAACCAACCTGTTTTAAAAATATTTTAATTCATGTTAAATAATGTTCTTTATTCTTCCCTAGTTATTGAGTATTTTTCCAAACCAATCGAAAGTCATATATACACTTTTCTTCCACTCTAGTTTCTAAATAATGCAATAAATTAAAATACTTCAATAAATAATTTCAATAGAAACATTGATCAAAATTGAAGAAGAATATGGGAAAAGATATGAGAGAATACAACAAAGACCAACTCTAAGAGCCAGACGTCGAGCTTATGTTCAACTCGACAGGAAAATCAGTGCTGCATGTGAACGGTTGGCCCAGAGCAGAATTTCTGTCAAAGAATTCTTGTTATACACTGGGCATCTGGCTTATGATGCAGGTATGAACTATACAATATCTAAAAGAAATAAAAAGATAATAAGTTATTTTCAAGTGAATCTAAATAAAAAAAATCATCATTTTGGGCAACATACAATATTTACATAAAAAAATTGTATTTCATAGAACGAAGACGTGGGGTTCGCAATGTTGAAGTTCACAATGGAATCGTTCCTCCCCAAATCTTGGAAACTATTGAAGGTAAATAAAAAAATAATCAAAATATTCATGGCTCAATGTTCACAATGTCAAAATGCAATTATCTAATTATTATTTTGTATAAATAACATTTCAGAACAAATTGTAACGGAAAATGTACAAAACAACGTTGTTGGAGGTTTGATTTTTATTAAATTAAAAATATTTCAGCTCAAAATAAACATTTTAAGTACTTACAAATTTATTTTGAATTGTTAACTATAGGGTTTGGTGTTCAAATACAAGACCGGTTGGAGCAGCAACAACGTAACGCAGAACAGTTTCCTAGTTAGTTTTTAATTAAAATATATTTAATAACACCCATGAAAATTTAAATTACAAAATATATTATATGTTTCTACCTATGTCTATTTTCAGTTCAAAATGTTGGTGATTTTGAGATCGACGAAGACAGGGATGCAGTGTTTAATGCCATACGTGAATTCGAAGCACAGAGGATGGCAAGAGAACTGGAGGATATCCCTAATGTCCCAATCAACAATTCTTTTGCATTACCAAGGCAAACAAATTGTTGTGATATTTGCCTTAGTAATCAAAAATCACATGCGTGCTTGCCTTGCGGACACAAGTGTTTGTGTTCAGACTGTGCATACGAAATTACAAATCGATGTCCAATTTGCAACAATTTGATCACAAATGTAATTCGTATTTTTGATTAAACAGGTACCAATAATTTTATTATTTTAAATTATTTAACATGCTTCGAGCTGCTACTTAACCCTTTATAGGTTAGTGGTTGTTCTAGAAGCCACTTATGTTTGTACGGTAGATGGGCAGCATAATATTAATGAATCACAAATGAATGCAACTGTGGCATTTATAGAAGCCACTTGTAAAATGACAGTGCATGGGCAGAACTATTTTTTTTTTGATAACATCAAATTAGCTAACTATTACCATTCTACTACTTGTTTGTAACATATTTGTTTAAGGGAACATTGATGTATCATCAAAATCTTGCCCTGTGGGTGGTGGCTGAAATATGTGCCACCAAACTATAATGGAATATGAACTTTACTGGACTTAGAATTATTAGGATCTTTTAACTTTTTTCATACCTGTAGCATACATTTAGAAAAATTAAATTACTATAAAATTAAAAATATAATTCAATCACAGTTTTTGCATGAAAAATACTCAACTAATAAAAATAATAATAAAATAATTCCAAATTATATTTAAAAAAAAAAATCACTTGATTTTAAAACAAAATTTTGAAAAATTTAAATAAAACAACATAACCTAATATCAAATTTCTGTATTATGAAAAAATATAAAAAAAAAATACATCACTTCTTGAATAAAATAACATTATAACAATTTTTCAGACTTTTGAAAAAAATATNTATAATACTAAAAAAATTCAAATAACATTATAACAATTTTTCAGACTTGAAAAAAATATAAAATAAAAACATCACTTATTAAATAAAATAACATTATAACAATTTTTCAGACTTATAAAAATTATATACTTTTTAGAATTACATTCTATAAACTTTTACAAATTAAATAATACTAAAAAAATTCAAATTTTTATTCATAATTTACTGGTGTAGAAACTACAAATTTTATTGTGAATGAAAAGGCAAAAAACAATCCAAGCAAAGAGCAACCTCACATTCCTGGCAGTGGATTTTTGATCTTTTGACATTTTTTTTAGTACTACAAAGCCTACAGCGATTATATTTTCCAGCAATAGGCATGTGATTACCCACATTTTGGAGTCTGCTATTATTTCCTGCTAATATAATACGGCCCCTTCCAACATCTGTGGGCTTTCTTTTAGTTGAAGGGATAACTTTTTTAGGTAAAAAAGCTTTTCTGTTACAAAATTGCCCAATTAACTCATCAGCTAATAAAGAACGATACATTAAATGAGTCAAAGGTTTCTCTCTGTTTGAGGTTAGTTTAACAGTTGTAGTATACATAATATATGAATTTACAATAGTGGCATCACAAAAATAATAAAAGAGCTTCATCCACCATCTTCGAGACTTCCAAGTTATATTATAGCATTCAAGTAGTTGATCAAAATGATCAACTCCGCCCATATACTTATTATAGTCAGCAATACTTTAAGGACATTTAACATCTTCTCTAATACCAACATTATTTTTTCTCTTAACCACTGTAATATCTTCTCCCTTATGAATAGATGATACTACAACTACAGGTTTTTTCCCTCTGTCCATCCACTTATATACTGAAATTTCTCCTGATGAAGCATAATCATAATCACCCAAACTAAGAGATTTATATGCTTTTAATAAAGTTTTAGGAAAATATTTTCTATTTTGTAACATAGTTCCACAAGCAAATATTTTTCTTTTTAGTAATTCTGAAACAAGATTTATGCTGGAAAAAAATCTGTCAAAAAATACACAATATCCTTTATCTTGATAGTTATTAGTCATTTCCAGTACTGTCTTTTCACCTAGAGATCCTTTTTCCTTAGAATCTTTTTTTCCTTCATATATAATAAATTTAAATAAGTAACCAGTTATTGCACAACATATAGCCCATATCTTAAATCCTCTTTTTACTGGTTTCATTGGCATATATTGCTTAATTCCAGACCGCCCTTTAAATCCAACCATACTCTCATCACAACTTAAATTCCTATCAGGAGAAAAACTTGTACAATAAACATTATTTAAATGGTCTATCATTGGACGAATTTTGTACAATTTATCAAATGTAGAACTTTCCCTTTTAGGCATTTTACTATTATCGTTTAAGTGTAAATATCGTAATATATTTAAAAACCTTTTTTGGGTCATAATGTTTGATATTCGGTGATTATAAAAATTTTCATTTGCACTCCAATAAAGGCGTAAACTTGGTAATCTATGAAACCCCATTATTATAAGAATACCCAAAAAAGCTTTAAATTCAATAATAGACAAATTTAAATTTTTGCCACATTGGTTTGAGTACAAGTTAGATTGGTCAACAATATATTGATAAAAATCTGAAAAATATATATCGAAGTTTTGCATGGGTGATTTAATGTCTACTAACACATTAGGTCCATAAAATTCATTAAAATCAAATGAGTCATAAGATAATGATGTAAGAGGTTGGTCTTTTGAAAAACTAAATAATATGTTATTTTCATTATTATCTTCTATATAATTAGAATC